ACACACACACACACACACACACACACACACACACACACACAGTCAGATCATCCAGGCAGCAGGGAGAAAGCACTCTCTGCATGCTGTGGTCGTGCTTCGGTAATTGAATATGAGAAGGTTTACCATGAATATTTAAACATTAGAATAAATACAATGAAGATCTGAGGCTTATAGTACAAACACTTCAGAGGAGGATTGTTGGATAAGTGCTCTCTCCACATAATTCATTCCTAATGTACTGTCTCTCCCTCTCCTGTCTTTGCGGGCTGCCTCGGGGAGTCAGGGCACAGTCTTGACAACTTTCCTGCGCTACAGCCTTTAAGATGCTGCTTCCGGACAGAGTTTGAAACAGTAAATGTGCGCTTGTATGGAAGAAAAAGAAAAGGCGCCATTACACGTGAAAATCGCCTGTATGCGTCTGTGCCGTCCGTCTGTTTCCCCTGTGGGTCGCAGCTTGGACGTTTCCTGGGGGCTGATGCCCTGCTCGCCTCACATCTGAGCAGCCAGGCTGACTAGGCGGCCCCCAGAAAAAAGGCCCCTAGAGGCTATGAGTACAAGCTGTCCTGCTGGACCTCCAGTGACTTCACCACGGCTCCTCCTGAGCCCGCCCGCTCAAACACACGGACCGAAAAAAACAGCGTGCGGGAGCGAGAATGGGTGATGCTCTGTTTTGGCAACACAAATGTATTTGGACAGCTCTCCCAGTGGAGTGTTCCAGCGATCCATAAGAGTGAATGAAAGGAAAGGTGAATAGCTAGAAGCAAAGACAGCAAAGAGATGGAAAAGTCGAAGTAGAGATGCCAGAGGCTGGTTCAGCTTACAGAGAATGACACACATTACAGGGCCAGCTGGTTTGCTGATAAAATAAGCCAAAACAATGAGGCGATCACATGCAACAAATAAAGTATGAATTATTTCCGAGGACAAATATTTGACATTACTTCCCTATTCTCTGATCTCTCTAAAGCTTTAAGGAGGATTTGCCCTGGATTAGGCCTTCAGTCTGAGGAAGGGATTGTTCCGACAACATCCTCTCTTTCGTCTCAGAGGCTTTTGTTTTTATGATGAATTTTTTATCAGTTCCCCACAATGTGCCAAATGAGCCTCGAGTGAACAATAGCATAAAAACCCAAGACATACATAGATACCCCTATTACAAATAAAGAGACAATTTTGGTAATTGAGAGAGGAAGTGATATTGTCTCTGCTCGTTTTCAAGGACCATAAACCAGAAGACGAGTATGTGGGGGACAACGCACATCACTAACTATCTGCCTGTGCCTCTTTGGGGATTGTCTTATTTTTTTATGCCCTTATATCCATGCTCAATATCTCACATTTTACACCAAGAATTAATGCTAGAAGAAGAAAAAAAAAGAAAAAACAACTTTCCAAGTTGGAAAGAGGAGTGGTGCGCTGCTGCCCTCCAGGATTCCAAGCACACTCTCCTATTCAGGTATATTTATAATCCTTAGCTGTCGCTCTCCAGAAGAGCAAATCAAAGCCAGTAAAACATAACTGCCATAAATAAATGAATAGATGAGCAACAGCTCTGGACTGGAGGGATTCACCTAGCAATCACCCACATCAGATCAGATCAATGCTCATGGAAATTTCATGAAGCCTAGAATCCACATCGCTTCATATTTCACTATAATAACCCACAGAGCCGCAGGGGGAGTGTGTACGAAGGGGTGGGGTGAATGGGGGAGGGGGGGGGGTTTCGGATGGATGTTTGGGGTGCAAAGAGTAGAAGGTCGAGTGGGGAGGGGGGGGATCAGGGATAATTGAGAGGTCAGAAGAGTGGAGTTGTCCTGGAAACACAGAGCAGGAGGAGGGGAGAACAACAGCCAGCGTCCAGTTGCCCTGTCTTCTTCTCCTTCTGTGTCACAACACTGTGAGTGTGAGGAGGTGAGTGGGTAGTGTACTTGCAGGGTTAGGTAATTGGCTCTGAGGCTTGATGTTAACACCTTAACAGGCCCTCAGACAGCGGGTAAGGAGCTGATCATATCACAACCTTCTGTTTCTCTCTCTCTCCTCCTCGCTCCTTACTCCTTCGTCTCCCCCTTCCCTCGTCTCCCCCCACCCCTGCCCGCACAGCTCCCCCCCGTCCTTCCCTCCCCTCTGCAGTCTCCAGTGCTCAGGTGTGATCTCATAACCGCTGCCTGGCGATCGATGCCGCCAGTGGCAGGGGGTTCAATAGCCCTGAATTACGGCTTCATTTCTGCTCACCCCCACCACGCCCCACCCTCTTCACACACACACACACACACACACACACATGAGAGCTCCCCGTCCCCCCACCTCCAACACCACCTCTCTCACACATACACGCACAGCACCCCCACCAACTACTCACAATCCAGATCAATACCTTACAATCTAATTTTTATCCATTTTTCCATAAACCCTGAGATTGCGTTTATTTGCAGAATCCGACAAGCTAAATAAAGCATCGCTTGAACATGTCAGGGAGACTAATGCATGGCTGGAAATTCATACACAGAAAACAGATGAGTAGAGCTTTTTGCTCCTAAAGGAGAGGAGAGGCTGAGCCTGAGAGAGGGCTGGAAGGAGGGAAAGAATGTGTGTGTGTTTGTGTGTGTGTGTGCAGAGAGATTCTACAAATCAATGGAGGTGTGGATACTACTACAACCTAAGCTCTAATTATCTGTTGCAAAAAAAAAAAAAGAAGTGCATGTCGACAGTTAACAATACCTGACAGCATGGCTTCTCGCTGGGAGAATGCAAATTCTGAAAAATCCAGATGAAAAGTGTGCGCTTGAATTAAGATATAAGAAAACACGAGAAATCATTTCCTCCGGTGAGCGCCGCTCATTTCGGCGGGGAACAAAATAATCTACATTCGAAATTCATTTACATCATCATCATGGAGCAGATGCTCCCGTAATAAGAACGGAGCATGCTAAAGAGGCAAGACAAGCCACATGGTGCAGAAAATTAATCTCAATCTCAAATAGAGGTGTGAATTTCCTCGCAGTTAAGACTGCGTGCCGTAAACGGGAATGTATGCAGCTATCTCAGCTGGCCTTGTCTCCAGCTGTAGACCAGCCGTTTTAATCAACAGCAGGCATCCCGCCCAGGCTCAATAAAAGACAGCATTCACAAACAGGAGCAAGACAAGTAATTGACCAGCTCGTGGCTGCACCCCACTTTTATTGCCAGATGACTTCGTGCCACATTCGTGCATCTGTGTGATGTGCGAACGTGCTCATGCGTGCGGCGATCCACGTGTGTATATGAATGTAGACTACGTCTGTCTATGTTAATGTTAAGTTTGTTTATGCAGCAACATGTGCGGGAGATTTTCCCGCTGATTATCATGCATGCGTCTCCAAAATTATGATATCAACACAACCAGGATCACATATACTTAGGAATTTAAAGCACTCTGGTGATTTGTAATTAAAGCAGTGCTTCTCAGTGTGCATCACCAGCAGATTTCACCACAGTTCGGGACAGTTTAATTAGAGCTAGCACTAACTTTAAACTGCAGACTCTTGTTTGCAGCACTTACCTGTGTCACACTTTTACAATACAGTGTCTGCACTGTATAAAATGAGAGACAACTGACAGTCCTAAAACTAATTTGGAACACACAGGCAGGCGTGCAGAGACGGAGAGAGATGTCAGCAGCAGCTGGTTTAAATTCTGCTCTTGACTTTTGTCTTTTCTCCCCCCCCTCACTGTTCCCGTGCCTCTTTTGCCGCAACTGAGTGATGTTTCCTACACACCTAATCTGCACTGAGCGCTGAAAAACTACCCCTAATGTTTGTGCGTGCGCGGATGCGTGTCACCGTGCGCGGTGCCAGCCTTAATGTGAGCCAGCAGAGCCTTTTAATATCAGCAGAAGCTGTAGTGGAAGCACTAAGCAGACAAGGCTGCATACTGAGGAGGGAGGGATTGCCTTTTGAACGACAAGGGTGATTCATCAACTCCCCCAATCTATGGCCGGCATCCTTGTGTCGCACAAACACACACACATGAGTACAGGTACACACACATAGGCTGCACTGGTTGGGTATTATCATTTTATGTTGCATGGCAAAAAGAAAAGAGAGAGCTTCCTTGATGAATGTTACAAAGACAGCAATCTAGTAAAAGGTGATACACAACCAAACATGGAGATGCATTTGTACAGGGGGGGTGGGGGGGTTGACCTGATAATGAGAGAGAGGGAGAGAGAGCAGAGGAAAGTGAGGGAGATTAGGGAAAGCTCTCAGCCCCAAAGGTGGGTAAGGCAGAGGGCAGAGAGAGGAACAGAAGGGGGATAAGGGGATAAAAAGACAGAGGAAGAGCAGGGAATTAAAAAAAACATTCTTCTATTCTTATCAGTGGATAGCTTAATTGCCTTTGATGAGTCTAATTGGAGCTTTCTGAAGTCTAATGGCACAGGAGTCCTCAGAGACGGCAGAGGACACATTACTGTAATAGCTTCTCTTCGAATTTTCTCTGCACCAAAAGTTCTCGTCTCTTCTTTTTTTTTCATTTTGGTGGCGGCTGGTTCTAGAGTATCGATAATGATGCAGAGAAGGGCGGAGGGGATAAACCTATAGGTAGGGCTATGTGGGTAGGTTTGTGTGTGTGTGTCGGGTATGTTTGCAAAGCAGCAGTAGCAGCAGTATCGGGTATGTGTTGACTTAATTAGGTCTGTGAGCTGCTCGCTTTCCTCTCCTCAGCAGAAGTTGATTAGCAATGCCAGCTGTCCCCAATGTAATTCAGAGCGTGCATGTGTGTGTGATCGCGCATGCACATGTAATATAGGAGTATATGCATGTCTGTGAGTGTGGGGATGTGTTGATGTGTGTGTATGTGCCGGCTGCCAGCTGCCACGCAGCGCTGCCAATCCTCCATGATTAGTACCCACTGGCAACTGGGCTCAAACTGGTGCCAAACAGACCCAGGAGGGCAACATGGCCCATGGTAATCCTCCATCCCTCGCTCCCATCTTTCTCCTCTCTCCTCTTTCTCATCCACCTCTCTCTCTCTCCACTCACATCGATTGCTTTTCTGCTCCAAATGCCCTGCTCATCCTCCCCTTCTTTTTTTTTCTTTTTTCCCGCCGCTAAATGTGAGCAGGTTTCCTCCTCACTGAGAGAAAGTAAAATGACAAAAACCTATATTTGAGACGTACAATTGCCCACGGGGGTGGCTGGAATGAAGTGTGTGAAAAGTAGAACTGGGGTCTGTGCCTCGACACACTTGACTCTGTCACTGCCAGCTCTTGGCACGCGGCACCGTGGCGCATGCGCTCGGCACCCAGCGGATGACCTCTTGCTACCTCTCACCTGTTGAGATTCTTCTATGCGCCCCCACGGAAGCCGAGCATGGAGGGACAGAAAGCGGGGAAAGAATGAATTTGTTCAAAGAAGCCGAGTTTTGAATAAGTGAATGTGACAAGGTGAAAGATTGGAGGACTAGGAAGCGATAGGGCGTTTATGCATGCGGTTGCCACATGTCTGGCACATTAAAAGGCTGCGTATACACATATGCACACCTACACACACTTATACAAACACACACACGCATAGCTCTATGGGTTTGGCAGAGTGTGGGCTGTTGGACAGCTCTGGCATGGCAAAGGCTGCCCACCCATCTGCCCTGTGTCTTAGTAATGCAGTTACTTGTCAGCGTGCATGTGTGTGCTTGGACTATGTTCACACTTACGTGCAAACAGACACAGGCATCCTATTGCAGTCTTCCCCACAAAAACACAAAACACAGTCATAGCTGTGACGCATAGGAACACACAAGATGCAGGAAACGCTAGCAATGTGACGCACGCGCGCTTTCTCTCAATTGTGATTTTGTCAAATGTTGGTAATTCCAGCCGGGGCTTATGGCCTAAGTCTATCAGTGGTTGAGATTACAGACAGATTTATGTGATTCACAGTCTCCCAGAGGACCTGTGGCCTTGCATTGGTTAATCACAGCTTCACATTCACTCTCTCTGTGCCGCTCTTCTCGCACTCTGCACCAACGTGCTCTGATGTAACACTCGAGCTATTCATGCCCCTGTGCTGACCATCAAAAAAATAAAGTAAATAAATAAATAAATAAATAAATATCACACACTCCACACGGGCCTCTTCCTTTCTGAATCGCGTCTTCGACAGGGTCAATTCTCAATAATCCCACCAATCAAAAGGTTAATCCTCCTCCTGACCTTCACCTGCTTCATAAAAGAGGGCAAATGCTTTTCCTCCTCTGATCAGCAGGCTTTTTCCACTGAATTATTGAGTTCTGTTATTGAATTTTAAGTTGCTTAGCATGCACATTTTTCACCAGAAACCGTCCAGAGAAATGACAGCTTATAAACTGAAAGACAAAACTTTAGGAATACAGATATATATATATATATATATATATAACAATAAAGTGAGATCTTTATAAAACTTAAAGTCAGCGTGTGAAGATTTTGATGTGCTTATAGCTGTCAATTTATTCTACATGAGTTGTATGTAGAATTGAGAGAAACTGGGAGAAAAGCCAGCAGATTGGTAAATGTTAGTGTAAAGGTACCTGTGTAGATGAAGCGTCCAGGTGTGCCTTTGCAGAACTGTTTGGATTTGTAGGAGAGTGTGACTTCCACCACCCCGGGGATGTGTCTGGGTGGAGTCTGGACGCGGATGGCATGGGGGGTGATGAGCTACAGGAAAAGTAGAAAGGCCAGGCAGATTAATGTGATGATACTTCATATCTAAACATGTGCACCGGTGGGGGTGGGTGTATTCTCGGCTCATCTCGGACCTTTCCTCTGCAGCTTTGACTTTTTTTCTTTGTATAATCGGCCTGAAAATGATGCGCTTGGCTACGAGCCCTCAGGTGGCCTCGTAGCCTAAGGCAATGTCACTGTGAGGCTTGGGATGGTTATCGGTGCTGACATGGACTCTGTAAGAGGGGTTCAAAAGCAGTTATCTGTTTATGAATAAAACACACTTTTCCTCTGCGTACGCCTATTGAACAATGCGAGTTAATGTATAATGCGCCTGCCCCTGTCTCCGTGTCTGTCAGCTGAAGCTGCCGTTAGTCACATTAAAGCACAATTGTGTCTTAAACAGGCTCACTTAGTGCAGCTGATGAGCCCGCTCGCCACGCACGTGTGTTCACGCTGAAGGGTCTTTGAAGGAAAACGGTAACAAGACAAAACACAGATGAGACCTCGCTGAGTGCTTGTTTCCTGCACGCTGTAGTGAACGAGCACTCAAAACTAGCAGTGCTCAAAAGCTATCACTGCTGCTGCCAGCGCTTTGTGTATGTGCGCATGTATGTGTGCATCTGTGTGTGTGTTGTTCTAGCTGTCCTTTTCATTGCTCACTTAGCTAGGCTTTCATTCTAGCATTGTTTGGCCCCACTCACCTCTCAGCGAGATAATATAGGAGCTTTTTATAGAATTATTCCTTTACTAAAGAGAAAGCTGTTTAGCTGCGCTGCTCACTGACCTTCAATTTCACACATAGACTCCATTTACATTTTAGTCATGTAGCAGATGCTCCTTACAAAGGGATTCATACTGTACGATGTGAATATATTTCAAGACGGAAGATAGCACCGTATTAAAAGACAGGAAGAGAGGTGAATAGCAATATGACAGAAGTGAGAGCTGACAGAGAGAAATGCAACAATAGGCTTCTATTGAGATTGTTAAGTATTTCTAATATGCATTTATAGCCCTGCAAACAGTTATTTCGTATAGTATCATTTATTAATCATGACTGCTATTTCAATTAAAAAGCATTTCCAAAAATGCTGGTACTTTGTGTGAAATGCAAACAAAAACAGAATGCTGTGCTTTCCCATTCATTTAAACCCTATAATAATGTAGGAATTGCATAAACATGTGATATGATTTGTTGGAACTAAAAGGATTTACTTTGCTTTGTTGAAAAAAAATCTCAAATTTTAGATTTTTTTAACACCAGCAACACGTTTTAGAAAAGTTGGGACAGGGACATGTTTACCAATGTGTTGCATCACCTTTTCTTTTAACAACACGATGCAAGTGTTTGGGAACCGAGTAGTTGTGAAAGCCAAATGTTGTCCTGTTCTCGCTTGATGCGGGACTTCAGATGATCAGCACTGCTGAACATGACTCAACAACGACATATGCTTTGTTCTGTTCAAATAAAGGAAAATCGTTTTTTAAGGGTTCTGGTTTTTATCCGACAACAGCGTCACACACTGATCCATGTTTTCCTCCAGGTGATTTTTATTTATGTATTTGCCCAGCTTTTCCATATGCTGGAAACAACTTAACATGCCTCATTTTCAACATTTGATGTAGTTTTGGTGGAATTTAAATAAGGCTATTTGCAGATGGTTGCTCTCTGTTTAGTAATAGTGATTTCATGCAGTGTGGGTAACAAGGGTTTATCTGATTATATTATTTGTCCATAAAATAATTACAACATTATCAAAAGTGTGATGCTACAGTGTTACAAGTTTTTTTTTGGCACTTTTAAATCACAATTATGTATTTAATCTAATGTAAAAATAATGGTTCCCAAATGAAGCATTTAAAAGACTGTTTGCCCACACTGGCTATATAAGAAGTGTACCAAGCCAATAAAAATAAAACAAACAAAACAACACAAATATGACTAAATTGTGACTAACCTCACTCCAGACCAGCATTGTCCCAAAGATGACCTGTAGGCCGTCAAAGAAGTTGTCCCCGATGATGATGACTGTTGCGCCCCCTGTGGTCCAGCCTTCACTAGGGCTGATGGCTTTGATGCTGGGGGTTGCTGGAAAAGAAAAAATATATATATAACAGATTAGCTGCTATCCTAATGAAAGCCTAGAAGGTCTTTTGCTATTGGCAGCATGCATAGTCCTCTCTACTTTCCATCTCTCCCTCTCTTTAACACACATGTGCACACACATACACATATATCACCTATCGCCTCTCTCCCAGGGGTCGGGGGGCGAGTGAGGAATACTAATCAGAGTGATTATATTCGCCCCGTTATTAAACATCACCCCTGCCCCGTGTGTGAGGGCAGCGGCGGTGCACTTGTTTTATGACACGTGGCAAAGCGTGCGGGCGTGTAAATGTCAGGTGTGCTCAGTGTCTGATCAAAGGCCATGCGACCGGGGAACACAGCAGAGCCAACAGTAGCTCTGCCCTCTGAATACACTGCCTTCATTAGCCAAACACTTAGCTCTTGCTCAGCTGCCTGTTTCATATATCTGTGTAGTAGCCTGTGTCTCAGAGCACGACCACATGGACTCCTTCCAGCTTCTGCCCGGTACATTTGTAATGGGTTTTTCTAAGCTCCCAGTGTTTTCCTTCTAAGCATATTCTTCGCATCTTATGGGACAAAGTACGTGGGACCACAACAATAAACAGCATTTTCAATAACTGCCATTCAGTGTGCTTTTTGACCTTATCTCTTGGTGTTATGATTGCTGGGTGTGATTGAAGAAAAGAACAGCATTGGGAAAATACATGTTTATACAAGCTGAATCTCCTCTCCTTAACAGATATGCAGCTTGTCAGACATGCTGTAATTCTGTAAAGCGGCATAATCCACTTTAGACTAGGCTGACTTTTTTCCCTGCAGCCTAGCCTTTGCTCTTTGCCTGACTCCCTGTTCTGTTGATCCTCCCCAACAAGCTGGAATGATATTTAGCCCCCCGATACGCCTGCAGAGATCAGCGTTCACCAAGCAGCAATCTGTGGCCGTAATCATGGCCTAAGATGCCTCCTTTTCACAGCCGCTGATATTATGTGCGCTCGATGTGCATGTGTGTGTTTATGTGTGTATCTGTGTGTGTGTGTGGATTAACCAGATGGTGGAACGTGAATCCATGTGATAGGATTATACTTTGGGGTGTTCCTCGGTGCCATCTGTTCAACTCTATGCACTGCTCATCTATTACCGCCTGAAATGGGCCCCAAAGTTGCGCATCCTGCACACAAACTGAACCCACACCAGAAAGGGGGTGGGGGGAATGGGAAACTACTGTCCTCTTTTTAATGAAAAAAATTATTTCTCTATTCTTTACACTGTTGGGCACTTTCCCCCCATTCTTTCATCACATTTACATTTCTCCCTGTAACCTGTTCTGTTCCTTTTACTCCTCTTGTTCCTCCTTTTTAACTCCCATCACCGGGAAAACTGAAAATCAGAGGGGAAGAAATTCCCAAACAAATCTCTACGACACGAGAAACATCTGTTGGTGTCCTGTGTGGACTCTTCTTTATGTGCAAGATCCAAGCCTCGCTGACGTCTCCAATATGTCTCATCTTTGTGAACTTTTCTAATCATCTGTGAGACCAGTCGCAGGGACAAGTGGTCCACCTTGCCTCTGGAGAATAGTCATTAGAAAGACTTAACCATAACATTCAATCTTAATGCAATCTACTATAGGCCATCATGTAAATCCCCGCTTATTTTTTTGTCATTATCATCCCTGAGGTTGACTTTCCTCAAAGAAAAAAAAATATGTTTCTCTTATTCAATGTCTGGGAAATCGAAATGAGAAAATAACTGGATTAGGGACTTGGGAATCAGTGCAGGCTCCTAAATCATGTGCACATGTCATTATGAAGTATTAAAGGTTTGGGTTTGACTGTGCATGCGGGGGTGTGTATGTATGTGTGTGCAAGGGGCTTTTCAGTATGTGTATGGGTGTGTTTGAAAACCTGAGGGATGGGGAGTGATGGAGGGCTGGAGGATAAAAGCAGGTCTCCGAGGAAATAAAGCCAGTGTTGGCTTTAAGCAGAACAGACCTCATAAGACACATAGTGCTTATGCGAGGCAGAGTAGAAGGCCCAGAGGCAGAGACCTGAGGGGAGCAAGCCACAAGGGAGAGACAAGAGACTCACTAGCTACCACTCACTCCTCTCTTAGCTCGAGTTAGAAACCCTACAAGAGAGGAAAGTGAGAATCCAGGAGGAAACAGGAGAGAGATAAGAAAGAAAGGAGGTTGGAGGGGAGTGGAGTGGGAGACAGAGGAAGGGTTGAGTGTGGAGCCAGACAGGGGGGAAGGGGTTGAGAGAGGGAGGGAGAGGAGTGGAGTCATAGAGAGAGAAATAAAGTGAAGGAGACAAAGAAAGATGGGGAAGAGAGCCGAGGTGTTTTGTTCTCGCTTTAAATACCGTGTTCCAGGTAGGATGGCGTTCCTTCTGACGGGTCCAGCCTCCGAGCTCGGCGCCCGTGTTTTGAGTTATTGTGCACAAACATGTTGTCGGAGACGGCCAGAACGTGACCCTCCACGCTCACCGTAGTCGACACAACCACCTGAAAAGGAAAACCAAAAGAAAGTGAGAAACAAGGTGTTGAAAACAACAACCAGCACCCTGTTGTGGCTGCTTACAAATCTTCAGTAATTGAATGCTGTCGTGATTACGCCGGACAAGCATTAGGAGTTCTTGCAAAATGCTATGTGGATTAACTTACTTTCACACTGAAGTAAACATGTTTATACTTCTTTTGTTATATCTACAATTTACCAAACACTTCATGAAGACTGGTTGATATATTTTCTAGGAATAAATGGGTTTTAACATATGAATCACTATTTTTGTAAAGTATATACATTTATTTTAAACATGTAAAAGAATAAAGCACAACTGACATGTATGGATATTAAAAAACCCAAATATATTAATCATCTGTATATAAGTAAGTCAAGTTTTATGCTTGAACGTGAGTAGGAAGAAGTATAAACTTATATGACCCTACTGCTCCTTCCTGTCTAATGAATGACAGCAATATCTTACTTTCACATGACCTGCCAGTCACCTGCGCTATACATACGTGTACCCTGAGATTCACTCCCACCCACACACACACACGCTTACACACATTACATAATCTTTAACCCACGTTTAACAAATACTCCTGTTTACATTATAATATTTATTCGTATAGTCTCACACGTTCATGGCTTTTAGGACTTGTTTTCTTTTAATGAACAGTATGTTTTACACTTTTTAAGTTTTACTTCCATTATTTGTTGTCCCAGAGGGGTTAATTTGACATTATTTTGCTTGCTTTACCATATCTGTGGTGCTTGTTTAGTAAAAAAAAAAACCCCACTTTGGTCACTTAAGAAAATAGCTGGGAACACACAGTATGTGTTGGTGATGTATTAGCAAACCATAGCCTACATTTGCCTACTTACACATCCTGTAGATGTGGAGCACTCTCCTTTTAGCTATGGTTTGGTCTCCACCAACCTCTGAGAGAAATGGCGTGCTCTTTAGCTGCTAAATACCTCTCTACCTTTGCCAGCAGCTCTCTGCACTGGACACATGACACCAATGATCCGTAATAGAAATTCATAGGAGAATTCCTTGAATGCATATATGGGGGTTGTTCACATCTGGACATCTATTAGCCAGTTTAGATGCACAAATGCACGTGCAAAGTATTTTGTATTTTTATTATAACATGAAGAGTTAAAGTGTAACTTGTTAGGAAAACTTTTAAAAATCGATTCTGATTCACTGGTGATTCTACACATGCAACACTTATGTCCCTTTGAAATTAAAGTTATTGCTATTTCCTCATTCACTTAGAGAGGGGCTTCAAAATAACCACCAAATTTGTTGCCAAGATGGCTGCCAGTGGCGAGCCTTTCTTCCAGAAGGAACAGGAAGTGTGTGCACAGTGGATTCTCAGAGCTTTTTCCCTTAAAGGAGCCAGTGGCTGCCACCAAAAACAAAGCTGTGAGAGCAGTAGGAGTCATCCAAACCTGTAGAGTTGTCAAAGCAAAGAGCAGAAAGATGCTTTGAAGAGCTTTCAAATAGAAAGCTGGGTTTATCATTCCTAACGGGTTCACATCTACTTATCGTTTCATGAGGCATTTTGCAGCTTTGTTTGTGGCGTTTTCATATGTGGGTTTAGAACTGAACGTTCTTTTGTTGTGATGCTTTTCTCTGAGTCCTCAGGACATTTGTTTATTAATTCTTTTGTAACTTTCGAACATTTATGCTCTGTGGCTTCTGGACATTTTTACTAGAAAGAGATCTTTTGAATTCTTTCTGTTATTCTTTGAAGGGAAGGAGATTCTGCTGTGGTTGTGTGTGTAGCCTTAAAAGAAAGAAGAAGAAGAAGAAACAGACAGAAGTGTTACTCCTGTCCACTATAAACACTGAGCTAGGCATTCAGACAGTTATGTATCACCTGAAAACGCCTCATGTCTCGAGGGTTCCCTGCATTCTTCAGGCAGTTCTGGTTACACTTCAGGAAGAACTTGAGGAAGAACCTGCACGTGCAAGAGAAACAAACAGCAAGAGAACCGAATGAGCTGTTGCAACAGCACCTGTGAGTCACTGAAACAGTGCGAGCTCCCTTCAATAAAACACACAACACAAATAAAACAAATAAAAGAGCAGTGGCAGACAAGGCTCATACACTATCCCACCATCATCCATCAGTTGTTTATGACAAAGGCACTTTTCTATGTAAAAACAGCTCCGGGATATTGAGTAAGATGCTACCTTGTATATCCATCTCTTGGAGCTGCTGTCACAGCTTGCCATAAACTCACCAGGGCAGACGCAGACCCCCCCCCCCACAGCTGCACAGCCGTGTGACGGAGGTTGTGCTGTAGCTACTCTGCAGCATAGTGTTGTCATTCCTGCCTCTCTCAATCTCAGTGTGAGAGACCACATCAACAGCACCTGCCATGCATTATTAATAGGCTGAGATGGCAAGTATGGCTACCCGCATCAATACTTAATGAAGGAGGGAGGGAGGGGAAGGAGAACGGGGGAGAGAGGGAGGGTCGGAGGAGTAAAGGGGAGAGTTGTGGGGGTGGGCTGAAAAGCAGGAAGGGGGACGGCTGACAATTTATTCCCTAGCCCCACCTCAAGGCTCGAAGCCTGACAACTTCTTCTTTAACTGAACCTACACCACTGTACGTCTCGTCACTCTCCCTTCTGCGCTGTCTGTCTGTCTTAAAAAACAACAACAACAACGAAAACACACAAAAAACACCGAAATCAAATGAGCCGCGAAAATAAACAGCGCCGTGTACAAATAAACAGGAACCCTCAAAAGGGGAAAAATGAAACTACAACACACGCCACCACCACCGACCCCCCCCCGCCCCCAATCCCCCCCCACTTCCCTTTGAGGTAGCTCAAAGAAGTGCTGACAGCTGAAACTGCTTACAATACAGATCTCGACCAGCCAGTGAGAGAATCACTCCTTTGCTCAGCTTTTCTTTCATATGTCTTATTTTCTCCCCTCTGTTCATTTGTTATGGCTAGGATTCTGCACTGGGCAGCGCGTTTGGAGCCAACCGCCTCAGATATAATCATGCACGAGTGAGCGCATCACACACACACACACACACACGCGCGGGCACACACAGACACACATACAGAAACATGTCAAGAGAAACACTGTAAGTAGCAGCGTGCCTTGGACAATTGCTTCATCTAGGGATACGAGAAAAAAAGAGAGAGAGAAAGGAGCAAAGAAGATAAATGGACAAGCTGGAGTTATGTCTCATTCCAAGGGCCAGCCTACTGCTGTGTGCATTATAAGCATCTGATGTAACACAAGAACTCGTGAATTTATCCCTGACAACTTTTAAATGCGTGACAGCTGGTTAGTGGTAGATGCTCCTCTTGAAGCAAAAGAAGAAGAAGAAAAAAAGACTCTTATATGCTCTCAATAACAAACTGTCTTTCTCTGATGCTCTGTTTTATTCTTTGGCTTTGTTTGTGCTCTGATTTACAGTCTCGCTGGCTCGAGCGGCCAAATCGAAATGAGAAGGGGAGGGGAGAAAAAGAGGGGAAAAAACAGAGGAGGCAGAAAGTGAGAGGAGAAACTGATAGAAACATAGACAGAGAGACGAGGTAGACAGTATGTGAAATCTGAAAGGAGAGACAGACCACCCTCCTGTATATTTTAGAAGCTGTAGGCCAATATCTCAATAATTCATGAAGCAGAGAGATGGAGTCCCCCCCCCCCCTTTTTTTTTTTACAGTGGCTGTTAGACCCCACAGACTGAGGGTCTCCCAACTTTCTTGTCTCCTCGAGGTCAGGGAGCAGCCTCGCAGACAGCTGTGGCCTACCTCCACTTGTCCAACATACTCCACCTTCCTAGCTGCGCCTCCTGTTTAATTCATCGATTCTACGCTTTATTCAACTGCCCTCCTCCTCCTCTTGCTCCGCTATTCATGACAGATAGATGATGGATAAGTGGAAGGAGAAAAGTTAGGGTCAGCCGAGTCAGAGGTGACCAAATCAGAGGGTTAAATATTAGAGTTTGGAGGAGGGGGTTGGGTTGCTCCTGAAACACAGCGAGAGAAAGTCAGCACGCCTCATATGCTGCTCTATATGTCAGCATGCGGATCTCCCACAATCGCGCATCATCTGATTCATTATTTACATGACTTAAGGTGTCTCGAGTCAGCCGTGTGGAAACATTACAAAACTGCAGCGAGCTGGTTCCTCTGTGCTCCATCTCGTCTCCCAGGGAGCGCCGAGGGGACTGGAATCACCACTGGCACACATTTACATGGATCAACAGAGTGTGGGTGTGTGTTGTAGGAGTGGGGGGTGGATATGCATTAGCAAGGAGATTACCATACGGATTTATGGATAATCTGATTGACAGCTGACCGGTAAATATGGACAGATAGCCTGTAATTCTCTCATTTGCTCGATTCAGCTCCCTATTATACTGTTTTCTTTGCTTTTGATCAATAGGGGACCCATTTGATGTCTAACAATTGTTGCTTCTCACTCTCTCCATGCACACGGCGGCGTGTGAGAGTAGTTTGGTCCAAGAAAATGGGAACACCAAGCAAAATAATCATGGTCACATTACATCTTATCAGGCTCAGGACCTACAGAGTCAGTCCTACCAAAGTCAGTATCTTTAATTCTTTACTTTTTTTTTTACTATAGGGAGACGTAGGGGAATGTAGTTGTATAAGATTTATAGAAAATAATGAAACGAATAAGCTGAACGCCGAAAAGCACTTGGATAACCTGACAACTTATTTGTGTGTGTGTTTGGGGATTTTGCCTCCTTACTTCTGTATTTATATTCCTCAGGCCAGCATATGATGTTTTTTAAGTCTTACACATAGTAAATGTAAAAATAAAACAGCATCTTCTCTGAAGACATCAATTTTCAGTTGCTTTACACGCACCCTTGTCTCCCGCGCACGGTCGTGCTTCGATTACAGCCTCCCTCTACCTTGTTTGTATTTGAAACTCTTGTGGTTTTCAGCTGTTTTACTGTGCAGACTCCACAGCTACAAATATTACCAGTGCAAATTGCTGCGCCGGCTGGATTAAATGAAATAAAACCATTTTGCTTTCACGTAATTACCCCCCCTCCAAATCTAGAAATGGCTGTGGAAGTGAATTTGTGAAAATAACTGCTTGGCCTCTTGAAGCCTCATGGCATAAATTTGTAAAAGCAGAAAAAAAAAAACCCTGAACGAATAAACACACGCAGCCAGTCGGCGTAGTAATTTAATGATCTCACACTTTCATCATATCATAAGGGGCATTATTTGTCACTTTGGAGCAATTAAACACAAACTCACCCTCTGCCCATAAAAAACAAAACAAGGAAAAGCAATTATAACACAACTTTTAAGTAATCCCTGTAGCATCTAAATATTATTACTGTGGTGATAAAGATTGTCTAAGTGATTAGCTAACAGCAATGAAGCCTCCGAGGGACAATGCTGTTATATTTTCTAATAATTTTGCCACATTAGCCACAAATGAGGTAAAGAGTTGTTTTCCTTGTCAAATCTAACACAGATAACTTTGGAACTCTGGGTTTTTTATCTTCCTCCGCAGCTTTGGTTTATTTATCTTTTCCACCTTTTGTTGGACATCTCTCTGCCATTTCTTTCTCCCTCGCTCCTCCTCATGCTGCTCTCTCGCTCTCTCTCTCTGTTTTGTTCTGATGCTGATGCGCTGTAAAAATGGCTGCGGGTGATACCATAACTCAGCCCTCTCCTCTCCCTCCATCCATTTCTGCTGTACAGATCATCTCCAGAAGAAAAGCCCCTGTGTCTGGCTCCTAATATGCTTCATGAGGTGTGTAATTCACTGTGCTCCGGAGGGGAGCCATTTGTCTCCGGGGTTAACTAAGTGACACAACAGCACTTCCCCATGCCTGTTACCACCGTGGGACATGTTGAACTAATCTAGGCAGGTAGAAGGATGGAAGTTCCTGCACTTCAGCAATTAAGCATTAAGATTTGCTCAGGAAATCAATCCTAATGAAGTCAGAGGCAGATTCAAATTAAGTGTAAATATTTGTAAGCAAATATAATGTTACAGCACAAAAAAACAAGAAAAAAATATTAAAGGAGCAATAAATAGGCGACCAAACTAAAAGCGAAGTCCGGCGCTCTCACGGAATCAAATATCTTCTTCAACTCCTGTTTTGTATATTTTCTTTTCCTCCCCTCGTGTTTCATTTCTCATTTTCTTTCTTTCCTCTGCAACTCTTTCTTGCACTCTTTCCGCCATGCATCACTGACACTTCAACCGAGAGCCTGACTGGCTTGTTTTTGTGGTGACCTGTCTCCCTGCCTGCAGTATATGTTTAAGCATGGAGGCACACACACGCGCGCGCGTGCACACATACACACACTAATTTAGGGAGATTTATGAGGGGGGCCTTGCACCAGGAGCCATGCAGGCTGACCCCAGGGGTGTAGTGCAGAGGAAGGGGGGGTGGCACTGGGTGGAGGAGGCGGCCTGGCTCCACGGGGTTGGGGGGACATTAATAATCCAGAACCAGGTCTGTCTCTGGGCCTGGCCTTCAGTCTCGGACACCAGCCTGTAATAGTCTGCAATGGCCCACTTTAGATAGACAGTGACAGAAACACCGGTGCAAGATAAAGTGATGTGACTTGACTAAAAAGAGAAAATATTTAACTAAATATGTAAAAAAAATAATACTGAACACAAAAACTTTGAAGTAAATGGACAAAGAGAGGCCATTTTTCTCTGTCTCGTTCCCAAACACGCACACGCACTTCATTCCTTTGGAGTGCTACTCCTCAAAGTAGTGGTGGGCACCTCTATACTGCCCTCATGTCTATCTTAAGTGTCATGATTTATTCAAATAGAACATCTCACTGCGCTGAAAAATTCATTTCGAGCTCACTCCACGCACCGTCCCATCCTCCTCTTTATCTGCTCGATGTGTGTGCACGTCATGCCGGTTGAATTTGCCCTGTCGTTAAATATTTCTCAGAACAAATGGACCCA